TGTTCGCGTCCAAACTTGGGGGTGTTACGTTCATATAGTAGATTACCTCGTGTGTACTTTTGCTATCTTACACGATATATCTATTAAACTGGCTGAAGCTCATAGTAGCTCAGTACCCAAACTAGCGTATACTCGTCAACTACCTTCCCCCTGAATGTCCGTTCGTTGTTCCGTGCGATTTATAAGTTCAGGGGCATACAACCGGACCGTTTGTGGATAGCAAGCTAGCTACTCAATAGCGGTAGCGCTATGGCTGTTAGCACCGGTAGCGGCAGCAGCTTCCGATAGACGGAGACTGTCTGACTACTGTGCCAATGCGCCTGTCGGTTGGGGTCCTTCCTACTTATTCGTTTGCTCACCGCGAATCGTATCTCTTTTGCCTCTGACTTTATTGCACTTCTTAAAGTAGCTATTCATGCATTACAGTTACTACCGTTGTGGCGCTGTAGCGACGTAAGCATCGTCAGTGGCCTTCGACGGCAATAGCTTCAAGAAGCGGTTGCTAGTAAAGCTGCGACCTAGGGCTGCACTTAACAACATTCAGCAGCACCCCCTCCAACGCGATCTACCCTATATGCATTGCGTTCCTGTAGCTTTCGTAACCGCCAACGACTGGATGGCACTGTGATCTGCGCTCCTGCAAAATACAGAGAGGCTGGCCTGGTGACTGACACTGCTGCTGCTGGGGCCTCTATACGTTGGGGCATGCGTGTAAATCTACGGAGCAGTCTCGAATAGAAGACGTAAGAAAGTGACTTAAGAATCTACACAGAGTCCCAGTTATTATGCGAGTCTCGGTACGCAGCCTGTTAGGCGCCGATTGCTGTCTGCTGCTGTGAGTTATCCTGTAAATTTGCATCAAAAATGAAAAATACGGACGTGAAGAAGCGAAAGAGAAAGGACAAAAAATAAAAGGCACGTTAATTGGAAAAGGTTAAGCGCATAAATCACGAAAGAAGGAACTAATAGCAAAAGTAGTACAAAGCCCCAAAGGCGAGTGGCGGTGGATCTCATTGCAGTGGTCGGTCGTTACATAGCTGATATAGCTTTCTTGCTTCAAGTAACTACTTGCTTTCAGGGCGAAAGAGCCCGCGAGATCCATAATGTTCTATCCGCAGCTTAGATTTTCCGAAACTGTGATTTCGGATGGACGGTTATTCGGTACGAGTTCTCCTTGACGAAAACGCTTACACCTCTCACTGATTCGCCGTATGTTGGCGCATGTGTGCTTTTTGCAACGTCGTAGACAAATTCGCAATGCGTCCCGCGTAAAATTCTATGTAAACACGATTGGGATTGCATAGCGTGGCTCCTCATGGTCTTAAGCATCTGAAGAAAATTTCTGGTCCATGGACGTTACGAACCTCCGTCAACCTATTCACATCCTCCCAAATCTGTTTTTCCGGTTGGGTAAGGGGCAACATCACGTGCCTAGGACTCTTGACCTATAGTTGGTTTACTGTCTGAGAGGTACTGCATTGGTCTTTGCTAGAGTTACGACGGCTTTATTGTTACCTGCTATCCACGCACCGCTAGTCCTGTTGCGTTTTTTTCCCACAGCGCTCCTTTTTTCTGTGTACATAGTTTTTCTGGTTCCGGAAAACCATAGCTCCCGGCGTGGCTTCGTGAGGCTGACAAGCTAACTGGATGGCCTGTGTTCAACCTGCTTACCCAAAGGCAAGGAAGGCAAGCGGGAGGACCTAGTTAGTTTGGTTCCACCGAAATATGACGTTACAGCCAAACTTGGCAGATTCGCTTCTAGCGATGTGCTTGATCGTTCTATCGGTCTGGGCAAAACGGAGGCAGGCGGGCTAGATGGAGAGGTCAGACGGCCTGAGGGGTGAATATAGAAGCCATGAACAAACGACCAAAAGGGCAAAGAACGAAATAGCGGAAGTGTGGCACGAAAAAAAACGAAGGACGAGAAGGTTGCCTACGATCTCTATTCTAGCTCAAGCTTTTAAAGAAACCTTTGCGAAACTGGCAGTGAGAAGCTAGGTCAACCAGAGCAAGTCCCCATCCTTCGACGTAGTTTGTTGCCCGCCTAGAGCAGCTTGTTTGATGTTCAAAAGAGCTGATCTGAACGGACCAAAGGCAGCTTTGCCTGAGTAAACCAGGCAAGCCTACCTGGGTTAGAGCAGCTACCCCAAAGGATAACAAAAGTCCGAGACGACGAGAAAGGCACCTACCAAGGCAGGCACGGGGGCACCGATATACGTCGGCACCAAGACAGCTCATCACCGTTCTTTGCTTCATCATTGGCACTTCTCCACAAGCATTCATCCCCACTGTCCATTTCATCTTAGATCAGCACTCAAGCCACCTACGCGCAAATAATTGATTACAATTTCAAAGGACGCGTCCAACCGCCACAGGAAGCCCCGTTGCTGCATTCCGCGTCTAAGTGTCTCACTGTGTGAACCTCGGCATCACCGGTCATGATCTAGGAAATCCGCGGCTCTGGTCCCTTTGACTTATGGCGAGACAGAACCGATCTTTTGCCGACACCTACTTAACGAACGGTTTGTCCACCGCCTTGACTGCCTGCACTTGCAGCCTCTTCAAGGCGAACATCTTTTTGATGCTCAGCTTTTTCGGCGTTTGTCCATTTTCTCGTGTGTGCAGGACACGCCCAAGTTGCCTAGCAGGCAACGTTTCTTCTGTAGATTTGTAGTTTCTGCTTTCTGGCACATGCGCAAGAAGCATGCGAAGCAAGTTGACAAATGGGAATTACAAGATGCAAAGATGCGTATACATGTAAACGCAGTGATATGAAAATTTGTAAAAAATTATATAGGAAACGGCAAAATTGTCCACTGAAATAAATTAATTTGTGCTAATCCGCCGCGATGATGGCAGCGTTATAAGCAGGATCAATTATAGCAAACAAACAACATTAGAACGCATTTATTGTTTATTATTTATTCGTTATTTTGTATTACTATTATCATTATGTTTTTGCTATTACTGCTATGAGAGTGACTCTGTTAAGCTGTCTATGGGGTAAGGTAACAATAACTGTCAGCAAAGCATCAAAACGTGTAGCCGTCATCGTGACAGTAATTAAATAACGTTATTCACGCATACGAGTAGTGGATCACAAACGTCCTCAAATCCGGACCTAATAAAGGATATCATCAGCTGTGTACGTTAGCTGACCCTTGGCGTTAATTTTATTATTGCTACCTCCTTATGCCGTAAAGGGCCTGATTAAGTTTGGGAGAAACGCGTAGCACCGGAAAAAGATGGTTTCGAATTTGTCGCAAAGGATTCACGGGTCAGAGGCCGCTTTTAGGGTATGTTTATGGTAAATACTATTGCGTAGTAATTGCTCGTAACCCTGTTCGTGTATGAGTCGTACTACGTACTGCAACTACGCGACCTGTTAAACCAAGCCGTAATCTATTGTCGTTTCGTTGTTCTTAGCAGTACAAGTTGTTATATCATCATAAACTGACCGAGGAACGTCGATTGACCAGAAGCCCTTTCCGTGTTAGTAATCGCCTATCCCCTCATACGTACGCACAGGTCTGTCACTGATATGTTTGATTGGATTAGAAAGTAGTTTGATTGAAATAAGCAATGCTTTACATGATGCCACCAAGTGACGAAACAACACTAGGCAAAAACAACATTTCCCGCATTCACTTAAAGCCCCTTTATCTGTCTTAATTAGCCTCATTCCGCTACCGGTGCCCTCGCCAGACCCCCAACCCACGTAAAATAGATACACGGCATTTTGTATCTTTATATGCTGATAATATTAACATAAATTCTTTGTGTTTTATATCCAGTGCAACTGCCGTAGCTTTCGAGGGCGACTTGTGGCCCATCTCTACATAAGTAGCTGTGTAGCTACATACGGTTTTGAACCCAGATCAGAATAGATACCAGATACATTGTTATATAGTCATTTCGTCGTGGTAATTAGATTTGTAATTCTTAAATAACACATAACACACCCCTTAATTACTACGGAAGCGTTTGAGAACCCTTGCTCTGACTTGCCGGATTTCGTCGGGTTATAGAGCAAGTTCCAAGAAAATAATAGCGGTATGGATTAAACTTGGTTTTTCAGGCTCAATTCCCACTCCCCTTACGTTCGGCGAAGTGTTCATCGAGTTGTTAATATCACCTCGGCGAAAAGACTTTAAGCTAGCTTGCCCTCTCTTGTTCCTTTGGCTTTATACGTGCTTTAATTACGCCGCAAGAGCCTCACGCTACGCAAAGATCCACTGTTCAAGTATTAGAACAAACGACCAAGCCAGCACAGCAGTAGACCACTGTAAGTCATGACAGCGGTGAATTGTTGTGAAGAAGCTTTTACAGCCAGTATTTCACGCAGAAACATTCAAGTCACAAAAGCTGATACGTTCTTATGCTAAATTACGTGTAATTTTCTATTTAATTAATAAGTAACTTCTCGAAAAAAATTGGTGATACAGTTACCCTGTAGTGTTTCTTAAAGTTTAAACATATATATTATGGAATATGCCATTAAAATCAATGCGATGTTATTAAACTCATTTCAAACAATAATAGCAACAAAGTGACATTAACAATGATGATTCAAGTTTGTTGGTTTCAAAACACCCCTTATTTTCCATCAAATCTTGTTGTGGCAATTCCAAATTTCGCATTTATTATTTCCATTTTGTTATATGATCCTAATGTTTTCACCTACGGCAAGGGCAAACATTTGCCATCAAGTGTATGTTCTTATAAATTTTCGGCGTTAGAAATTTTTCGGGCATCTGTCTGGTGAAAATTATTAATAATAATTCCTAAATGGTTTTGATAAGTATACAAAAATGGTGTGGTATATTACCTGACATCTGACGCCTCCTGTCGAAGACTAGTTAGACAATATTACCAGAAATGTTATCGCTATCCCGAAGAGTTATACGATTATTCCAGGTGCCATAGCTAAATTAAACGTGATAATAAAGATCTCTACATCTATATGTATCCAATATCTTTTCCTATTCTTCGTCTTTCAGGGAAGCGTCCCGCTATGCACGAGACGTCACGGCGAACACGGCAAGCGCATGCCGGCGGGCCAGTCACTACCACTGTAGACGAACTTGTTGACGTTGACAAAAGCAGCGTTTATAACGTTGTATTGACGACAAAAAGAGCTATTAAGAAGCAGAACAGTGACGGGAGAATCTGCGGCGTAAGGGCAGAGACCGCCAAAAATAGAAACAGCAAGCCGCATTTTGGCAAAATTGTTAACAACTACCCCAACACCCATAACAGCAACAACAAAAGTACCAACATTATAAGCAACGGCCGATTCATCCGTAGGAGCAGTAAAACGTGCAACGAAGGCATTTTCAATATAAAAAAACACCCTATTTCATTCGTTGTCACTTATTCGACGAAAGTTACAATTGCCACATATAACATTGATGGCAGATCACACTCCCAGGGTAAGCAAGTCGAATCAGCGACCTCATCGGTGAAGTCTTGAGCTGCAAGAGCGCAGGCCAGGCAAAGGGAGCTCGGCTCTCGAGTCCACTTCATGAAGTCCCACAGACTAAAACCCGAGGTTGAAAGCGATCTCGAAGTTGAAGACAAGTACGATAACAAAAAGTCTCATAGACATAGAAAAGTTGCTACGAACGCAACGGACGTCACTGTTGTGGAAGTTCGGCAGCAGACATTAGCACAAATATTACACAAAGAGGGATCCCGGCTATAAGGGCAGGCGCGAGAGTGACGTGAAGCAAGACGTCAAGCCATTCTAATCGAAGGAAGAAGACGAACATCACGAAGTGCGGTCCTTAGCGGTAAGCGAAGCAAAAAAAGAATTGGCTGCTGTGAACGCTGGCGAATTCGGTGAGAAATTTGTCAAGCCATACCACTGCGGCGTAATAACTAATACGACTTTGACAACGATTAGCCGTCGTAATCTACAGTGTCACGGTGCAAGAACAGCGCTGCGTTACGGGGCCCACAGCCACCAACGACTGTGAAATGCCCTATAGAAAGCAAGGTCAGTGATTCAATGTGTTATTGCCACAGTGCCTCTAGATAAATATGCCCAATATACAAAAACGTGCCGTACTGCCTTACTAGTTAAACAATGCTTCAGACATGTGGTTCCCACCAGCACAAAAAACAATGCGTCTATGCCCGCTTTTTAACCTTGACCGTTTGCCACGTTCTCAAGTTTGTTAAGCGAACATGTTACCATTGCGCCATAAACGGGACGACTGAAATGTAGCAATAGTGGAAAGGCGCCCTATGGTAGTGCATTGTCTGCTTGCTAAACGTAGAGATATGCGAAGTGATCTAGGCTTGAGACTGGGCATAAACGCACTTTGTTTAATACTAAGAGGCGCTAACTGTCTGAAACAATGCGTTACGGAGGCTGTACCCAACATGAAGCTAGACACATCTATGACGAATACTAAAGAACGGTAGATCAATGATTATAGTTGCAGAGCAAAAAAGATGAATTGACATTAAACTAATAGTTTGACCCAAGTTCTTATGATGTTATCCTTTTTTATCGAAACATACCAATTAGAATAATTATATTACGCGTACTAAACATAGAATCGGATTAGGACCAAACACTAACTGCTTCTTGCCGGCGCTGAAGTCCTGTTTGCCTGCTTGGTTCAGGTAACAGATATAACAAAGGGCAAACAAATGGGAAAAATATTTCCGATACTTTTTTAACTAATGCCTTCGCTATTAGGAAGGACCAAAGATCCTGCTTCCTATGCCAGTACAACGAATATCTAAACGACTTGGAAATACTGACCGTTTATAACCGAATTCTGGGCCAAACGCCGACTGGCAGTGGCACTGAAAAACGAACAAGCAAAGGGAATCCAGAAAGAGGTTACGAAGAAAACATATTTGCCACTTGTTTGAAAACGACGCAATACCGGGTATACCAAATATTGTGTTAGCACAGCGTAAACAGAACTATTTCTTTCCCGCCCTTAGTAGCCTTATTTGCTGTATGCTTTGCTTATCCGTTTGCCCTTCCAGTCTCCCCTATCCCTGACTTCCTGCCCATTACCTTTAGCAATTTAACTCTGATTCGTGGGATTCTAGAGTCAGGTCGTCACCACTCTCTATCGGCTTCGGAACGATTACGTACACTCAGGGCCGTTGAAAACAGGTCGAAAACTCGACGCATCAAGATTAGATGAAATCGACGTTAAGGAAATCAAAATTAGAAAATTTGTCCGTAGTCGATTTTCAACAATAGTTCAAATGGTGCGCGCGCCACCACGAGGCGAATTATGAAACCCAGCCATGACCATAACGATATCGGGACCGCTGGTAGCCAAATCGGTGCGCGGTTTAGAACTGCCCAGAAGCGTCTCTCTCAACACGAAAATCTCTATCCTTCGAGTGATAATTAGGGATGTCGCGTAAGCGTTTTCAACTCGAAAAGAATCAAGAGGGCCAGAGAAATGAAAGTTATGTGCCAGGTTAGTTGCGGGTTTGACGACTATGACAAGGATCGGGCCGTATTATGAAGGGTGGTTTAACGCTCAAGAAAGCTACACGAAAACTGACAGCTCGTACATTGCAGCTCCAATTCTCAATATTCATTGAGGACAACATTAATTCCTTCATCTGGGGCTAAAGTGCTCTACCTTCATAGGCGACCTTTAGTAGTCGGGTTTTACATTGTCCTGTTTTACGGGTCCTAATTAATACAAGCAGGTGAAATTTCTGCGGAACAGAATGCGTTTTCAATGCAATAGGAAAAATGAACCCAGTCAAAGGTCTTACCTATCTTTTACCATTGCTTGTTTTGTTTCTCCCAATTTGAAAATATGAACTTTTTTTGTGGATTTTTAGAATTATGAATTAGAGATTTTTGCAGTTCAGTTATTGACAAACGTGCTGAGAATTATATAGAGACACAAGCCAAACCCATATTTATGGGGGGGGGGGGGGGTAGCTGAACAATCGAAACAAAATTGATTAAAAAAAATAACGAATGATTAAAGTGCCAGACCATAAATTTTCAAAATTTCTTTTTCTAAATTTTCTAGGACCAAAAAGGTTTTGCTATTTAGATTCGTTTGCTAGAGGACCTCAAGTAACGGATTTATGATTAACTCCTAATTTTGGTTTACATGGATGTCTGACAGTTTCTTTTATGATATGAAAACGAGGTTAATTTTTCTTATAACAATTAACATTAACGTATTTCAACACAATTACCCTTGAAACAAAGTAGTTTTGATGTGATTTTAATTTAATCAACACGATATATGAGCGTGCTTTATTTAATCCGGCTAGATATAACAGAAACTTCAATACTTTTTTTTGATTTCGAAGTGCATCATCCCCCCATTTGACCGGAAAATTTGCTAGACTCGTGCATTGTAGAAGGGGGAGCAGAGTTCGTACTTCTGAACCAAACTGGTCGGATTACTTTGTCTTCAAAAACCACTATAGTTCTACTAAATGAAGGGGAACTAATATTGTTGGCACAAGCATGTTGGATCAGGAACCTATAATACTGTACAAAACCTATTCACGAGGTACTGATACACGGTAAGTCGTTCTGCAGTATCCATCACGCAAACACTAATCGATACAGAAAAGAGTCTAGAACTTATATGCCATGTTGAGCTAGGATCGATTAAAGCTAAAATTTATAAAGGAAGCCCTATTTCTTCGTTACATAGAAAAGTTTAGCTTCAGTAATTGTTGCTTCAGGTAGCATTCGTCCTCTAGTTCATGGATGTTCTGTGCAATGACCGCTTGTGAATGCCATGCAGAGTAATAGCGCACCGCATATTCCGTTTCATACTGTATCAGAGAATACACGTACTCCAAACTGCCGTGGTTGAAGGCTCCTTAAAACTTCATTCGTCACAGCCCAGGCAAGAACTAAATAAGTTTTCGGAGAGAGCAGTTGTGCGGTTCATAAATGTACAGTGCAATGCAATCAGACGCATGGGTTCCCTGCCCATGAAATGCTTTGGTAACTGTTTTGTGGTAACGCATTTGCCTTCGAAACTCAACTGCACGTAAGGTGACTCAGGTTCGAAATAAGGCATAGACGCATCTTGTTTCATACTCGAAGGGACTGCCAGTCGTATGAAGTAATGTGTAACTAGAGCGATGCCAGAGGTAAAGCACGGGATATGTGCTTTTTAATGACATCATTTATGAATAATACGCCGCACAAAAAAGAACAGCTCTGTAACTCAATATGGAATGTAGTTCTCAAATTCACGATGGGCTTACATCGGAATCTAAGTCCATTTTTAGCATATATCCGTAAAAGATATCTACAGCATACTATATAATTATTCTACATGTTACACCGTTGTGACTGCCTTAATTAGTCAAGAGCTACCGGTCCTTTGGCGCTCTTTTGTTTGACGAAAATATACACAGTGAGCAATCCTTTATATGCCACTTACTTCGTAAATATACAAGGCCTTTACTCCGGACCCCTTTCTCAGTTTTTAACTGCCAATGATGATAATACCTTTAGCAATTTTCGAGCCTGATCGGCAACAGTTGCATACAAAATCAGATGAATAGGTCCATAACGCGCCTCTATTTCTTTTTAATGAAAAAACATATTGTGAACGGCAACACTGATCAAAACCAAAAGGCCTCCAGTTTTAATCCGTTATTTTACAATCTTCCCTAACAAACCATTTCCTCAATCATTTAGCTCTAACCACTGAGACCTTTGCCACGAACGAGCCAACCAACACGGCGCAGCTTCTGCAGAAGGTTTTCTTTGCTTTTTTTTTTTCAGAGTACAGAAAATGTTTGAGTTTTTTCTATCGACGGCTTCTGTGCAATTATTATTGCATATAAAAATTATATGCAATGTGTTAGTTTGTTTTCCTCGACGTCGCCAGCAATAAATGCGAGGATAGCGGCAGAGGTAAGCAACAGTTAGGTAAGCTTTGTTGGTTCGCACGGGAACATACGTATCTACATTGGTACAGCAATGTCCGAATAGGAAAATGCTAGCGCGACCTCCACGATCAAAGGGTAATGCGGTGTAGATCCCAAATTCCACAAATCACACCTGCGCGTTTCTCAGTGATATAGTAGGCCGCCACAGGGCAAAAAGTGTAATTCAATTACATCTAAAACTCGGCCTAGTCAAGCCCCTATTTTTGCTTTTGTCGCATGCGTCCGCGGACGAAGTGCCGTCCGTTTTAGCTGTGGGAGGAAGGGTGATGGACCCTGACAACACGAAAAAAATACACTTCTGATGGGGTAATAGGGGTTGCACCAGGCCTGGCGGAAGCAGTTGTTTCTTTGCTAGCGACTCTTTCGTTTGTTCCTAATGTACCTAACTAACAACGATTGTAACGACTGACGAGGTTGTTCCTAACTAACGACTAATGTTTTAGCTGGCGCCTGACGTTTTGATGTAGCATCATCGTCTGTGTGAACGTTACTATTAAACATTGAACATCACTATTGCAAATTGAAGGTAGAGAATTTTGCTTAGTCGGTTGGTGAGGTGGGTATGAACCTCAAAAGAAAATGTCCAGTTTTATCATCCAATAACCAATGAACGGAGACGAGTTAATCCGTTTATTGAATGGATACGACCAGTGACTGAGAATGAATGTGCCAAAACGATATTGGCACAATTTAATGTTTGGTGGTTAAATGATCCTGCGAAAATTTGTACCTTCCATTTTACACAGTGTCTTTTAGCCTCATCAAAATAGTGTGGTCCATAGGTGGCATAGAGAAAAGTTTTCAACAGATATAGTGAGTATTAAAAGAAATATGTCACCGTCATGCAGATGAAATTCAACGAAGCTTTATTTTTTCTAATAGCATATAGGCTATAAATGTAGAAACATGGTCCAGAACTAGCTATCTGCGTGAATAAAAAAAATCCATTAATAAATGGCCGTAAGAGGGAAGAAATTAATACTCAGGAAGATAACTCTTACTAAACACCGGTCAACTAGTATCTAATCTCCTCCCGGCAACCTCCTCTCAAATCTTATAGGCTTTTTC